TGTGTGTGTTTGTTGCGCCCATAGCTACGGTCTTTTCCCTAACATAACGCACCCTGATAGTGAATGTATACAACTTGAAGCTACCTTTCCGGCCCGGTACAGGCAGAATGAGGGTGCCTAATGGAAGACAAAAAAAATCATTTTGAACTGAGTTAGATCTGTTTTTTTAACTCTGGTCGTACCAGAGTGGCAGGCGTGTATTATTTCTGCTAATTTCGAAAGTCAATATCATTTGCATTGTAGTTGGCTCAAATTGAACTGAGTTAGATCTGTTGTCTGATCCTTTTTTACAGACACATATGCGGAGCAAATGTTCCGTGGGAGCTTGGGCCTCTTCCCCGCTACGTCTACGACGAGATGCTTTGCATGTGTATGACCTTGATGGTGATGAGTGTGAATGAGGAACCTTGGTGAATTGTTTTTTTTTTTTTTTTTTTTTTTTTTCAATTTTTTCTAAACTCAGGCTCCAATCTATTCGTGGGGAGCATCACGTGCTGAGAACCGGGCTTAGCGTCCCTTATGAACTTCATAGGTGAAATTTTGAGAGATAAACCTGAGCATGAGATAATCAGAGAACCACCACTGTGCTGGAAACCGGGTCCAGCGTCCCATGCCTCGGAGTAACTGAAACCAGAAACCGGGGGTCTGCCTCTTCATCCATCTCGTCGGGTGCCAGAACCTTAGCAGAAAGCTAGCAGCCCCTCCCCTAACCCACGGCCTGGCTTGGAAACCGGCAGGAGCCACTGGGGGGTACCAGTGCAGGCCTTGCAGTGTGCAAAAATGACCCGAAAGTTGGCAAAAGTCATTTCGTGGCCTGCGGAACGTTTTGCTTGGCTTGGGGACAAATGAATTCAAAGGTTTTGTCACAGGGAGGTTTTATAACTTTTGCCTTCACCATTTCGAGTTCTCTTCTTCTCGTGTTCATGTCCATTGTCCACATCACGTACGCAAAACTTGTTTTCAAGCAGGTCAAATTAAACGAACGTCAAAAGAAGTACTCCTTCCAAAACTGCATGGTGGCAAGCATTTTCGAACACTTCACATCCATCCACTTTAGTCCTTCTCCCAATTGCCTTAAAACTTGTCCGTGTGGGAAGCTACAAGACAGACGAGCCTTCAAACTTGCCTCCACAGGAAGGTACAGAGACACACAGACACAGACACATACACACAGAGAGAGAGAGAGAGAGAGAGAGAGAGAGAGAGAGAGAGAGAGAGAGAGAGAGAGAGATGGTGCAAACACTGCAAAGCATAGACGGAAAGGGAAACTGATCGGTTTTTCAACATTTTTTCTACCTGCTCCAAGTCCCTCTACCGCGAAGGAATTATGGACAGGCAACAGCCGACTGCAACGGAGAGCACACAATGAGACTTTACAACTTCCTTTTTTCGAAGTGATGCCCGTTGGTCCGAAGGGGCGGCCGAAAGCTACCGTCTTCACCCGAATAGAACGCCCGGTCATCATAGCTGTATTTGGCACAATTTTCGGTCTAGATGCGGCGATAATGACCGGGCGTTCTATTCGGGTGAAGACGGTAGTCAAAAAACCAAGTTCAGAAAGTCGGGCGAGGAAATGGGATACGCCCGGTGTGACTGGGCGACCTTGAAAATACCAACGAGGGTGAGCTGCCACGACCCTGTACTTACAGTATGATCGGGGCCACCACTAATAACCCCAAATTTTCCCGTTCTGGTTCCGCACTGTGAGCGTACCCTGAGCTACGCCGCTGCATCCAAACAGATTCCCATCGAAATTCGTACGTAAAAAACTCGTCTTGTCCTCAACGACAAGCTCATCCCACCTTCCGGCCAGACACGGACAGGTCGTCATAAGAGGATGGACTTTGTAGTAGTTTGTACCAGGCAGTGGCAATGGTTGCTCTCAACTTTCCAGGGAGACACGAAGGTGTTAGATGAGATTGAGAGCCTCGCCGCATCACTCACCGAAGGTGTAAGATCAGAGCTTTTTTTTTTTTTTTTTTTTTTTTTTATAAGGATGAAATAGCCAGTACGTTGAGATGAAACGAGGGACAAAGCCCTTTCAGAACAGGCCCAAGTGCCGTTGACTAGAACATATAATCCTTTAGAACCAGGGAAGATACATTGGAATTTGAAAATACTCTTGCTTTTTTTTTTTTTTTTTTTTTTGGAGATCGCTTGCCTTTTTTCACGTTTGGTGAGTGGTGTGCGGAGGGCCTGAGGGGGTTTCAAATGCACTAGATTTGACGATGATGCAGAGAACTTGGAGAGATCAGTGCAAATGGGAACGCCACTGGCGCTAACTGGTCCATCTGGGCCACAGGACTGAGGAACAGGCGGTACGCAGAGGGGAGTATCGACGTGTAGACAGAGGGTCCCGTCCTGGGGTACAGAACTCCCACGTCAACCTCGAGCCTACAGTCTTCCCCCGAGCACAACGAACCCTTATTTTGGCTGTATCTGGCCGGAAATATAGCTTGTATGCATTCATTTCTAGGGTGCGTTATGTTCGGGGGAAGACGGTACGTCGTTTCCGTGCCGTACATTACTTCCTGTTTTTTCTTGGGCATGTGCACTCGTCAGCTCTTTGCCAAGTCGTTTGCACATTCCCTTCCACATCTGCAAGTCCGAGGCCCGGCTGAGATTATGGGCCTCGCCGCACCACTGTCGAAAATGCTATTTTCGACAGTTCCTCTTCGCCACACAGGCTGTCGAAGTCGGAGACGAGAAGAAAAATTGCAAGTTGTCAGAGAATGCTTCTCGACACCTCCTGTCGAAAGTCGTTGATTCCCCAGCCTGTTACTCCGATGCTTTCGACACTCCTCGGCTGCGTCGTCGACTTCGCTTCGAAATTTGGTGAGTGGGGGTAAGGTCGGGATGGACTGATACTTGTCGTACCCTCAGGAGCGTTCGTCTTTTTCCATCCTTCTTTCACAAGTGCGTGCACTCTACAGTGCTGTGTGGCGAAGGGGGGGCAAACTGTCGAATGGAGGCTGTCGAATTTTTTCTGCCAGCCGTCGAATTTTTGTGCCTTTCGACAGTGGTGCGGCGAGGCCCTATCTCGCACTCCCTGCCTGTCTCTAGGCTTCCTGAAAGTTCTACCTCCCACTTGCCTCTCCGCATCTCAAATATCCTTTCCATCGCTCCACACGTAGACTTACTTCCCCCACGCCCCCCTTCCCCCCCCCCTCCTCTCTCTCTCTCTCTCTCC